AACTGAGTTATAAATATCACCAACTCTTGATGGATAAACTCTCCCTTGGAAAGATACCACATGCTTTTGTCATTAACAACAACAAGGAAATGTCTGAAAAGAAAACAGACTTTAAAATGTTGGACTTGCCAATTTTAGATTTGTGGTTACGTACTTGAGAAACAGAAAGGATAATATATGGTATCTTATTGATTTATTCTGATTACTTGAAGAAAAGGATTAATTATGCACATTTAAATCATCTCATTGTTTCAAGTTTAGTTTAAAAATAGTGTCTTGGTTGAAAAATCCGAATCACCAAGATGGCACCCTGCTTAGGTCATATCTTCCTTGTTCCTCTTTGGAACGAATAGTCTTGTTTCCTAGCAAGGTTCAGCTAGCAAGGTTAACCTAAGCAGGAAGTTTGGAGCTGCAAATCACCCTTTACCACAAAAAACAGCCTAAGCAGGCAGCCAGAAATCCTGAGTAGAGGGGAAGCAGGGCGTAGCTTGATTCAGTATTACCAGTCCTGACCCTGAGATTCTTTCCCTCCTGGATTGTTTCCTATCAGGTTCCTTTGTGAAGTCAGGAATAATAAATCCCTTCTTTTCCTTTCATGAAGCCACAGCTTTGTGAAAGCCCTAGCAGTCTAGGTTGTATATATCAGTAGAACAAATACCTTTACAAATGTTTGCATATGAAGTAGAAACAACTATTCCCTGTACTCTGTCCCCTCATTTGTTTGTTTATTTATTTCAAATTAGAAAAGCTGAGGTTCAGGACAATTCAAATTAATTAAGGCATTTAAGATACCATCTCAAGTGAATAGGACAGTTGGATCTCAAAGTAAGGCATTCTGATTCATTGGCTAGTGTGTTTGCATTGCATTTTATTTATCTGTTTTTGTATACCCCAGGACTAGTAAGTACTCTGCCTGACACCTACTGTGTATTTATTAACTGTCTGTTGAACAAAGAGTCAGGATTTATGGCCAAAACCCATCAATTACAAGGAGAAAGATATCCTGAAAGTTGTGGGAATTTTGATGCTTTATGAAGCTCAGGAAAATCTGAGCATAAATCATTTAGGGAAGCACTGCAGCAGCCACTTGGGAATGCCCTGTTTTCTTTTCAAGGTAGAAGCTTAAGTCTGAGTGGGTTTGCAGTACAATCCTCAAGAGTCATTCATTGAATGAAGGCATTGTTTCCTTGTGGGTGTGATGCTCCATATTTCCTGCTCTGTACTCACCTTCTGGTTTCACAGTTTCAGATGGCCCTGAGGAGAACAGGTTCGCCATGAGCCTTCATGGGACTAGAGAACAGAGTATTACTCACCCACCCCCCCACCCCTATCACTGTGCAGTAGAACAAATATCTTATAATGAAATAAAAACCTTCTTGGAGACAGCCAGATTTCTGATGCCCTATTTTGTAGCTGTGCATGATACAGGAAAGTCACCCTCAAGAAATTTTAGGAAAGACTGAAAGATAGCTGACAAGCAAGGGCTGATTAGCTGAGGGAAGAATATCTTTTAATAAGTAAGACATACTGCTGTAGCAAAGTAAATCAAAGTGGTAAAGACAGACACATAGAATCTGGAGAAAGGCTATCAATAAAACAAAATTAAAAATAAAGGACATATTAACAACCAACTAAGAAAAACGCCAGCAGAGAAAAGAGAGAAACTTTGTCCTGTTTTCTGCCCTAGAATAATATTGTTGTTAAAAGGAGATCTTTTGATTAGAAGTATGTTGAAACTACTGAGCCAGTATTTTTTAATCATTGCTTTCCTTTATCTTAAAAGATAAGCAAATTAAAATGTTTAAAGGACTTCATATTGAACAACTTGATCAGTCTTTTCTCCTGTACTGAACAGAGAGGGCCTGCCAAGAACAGGAAATTCAACACCAGTAACAAAGCGATCTTGTCTTACTCTTAGAGAACTGTTCACCATTTAAGAGGTTGCCTGTTAAAAGATACTAAGAGACTCACTGTGAAGTATCATATGGTATATACATTTTGTATTACTTTATAACAGCTCAGCAAGGACAATTTATTTTTGTCTTACATTTTCTCTATTCTTTTAAAAATCTACCACATAACTTGACATTTCCTCTTTCACATCACTTATTTTTATATCTGATGTTCCTTTTCTACCTTTGCCCTCTCTTGAAAAAAAAAAAAAAAAAGGCCCCTACTCTTTTCATGTTTTGGTCTCAAACTCTCCTTTCTCCTGTTTTCCACCCAGCTGCTTTCTCTCTCTCTCTGGACTCTGTCCACTGAGCTTCTTTATGCACTGTACAGTGAGCTGTCATCTGTGTAATTCTAACCTCAGCTCTATTTTTTATGTTAGTTGCATGCCCTCCTGTTTTTCAGCAAGAAGTATATACCAAACAAGAGTAACCGTTTTAATAATGCCTAAGAGATCCAACAAGTATTGAGTAAAATCATGCAACCTGTAAATTATTTAAAAGTAGTCTGTTAGCATAATTTTATTCATTTTTCAAAACCCTGAACACGGCTACGCCGAAATAGGATTAGCTCACGGAACTCCCTTCCCCCAGCTCCTCTGCGCTTCAGATGTCTGTGTTCAGTCTCAGCTAATGTGCAAAGGGATCTCTTTCTAAAATTCCGTGGCTGCTCTGGAAAGAAGTGAAAGCTGATGCTAAAGCTGTTATGTGCCTTCCCATATTTTACAAGTAACTAAACAATTCACAGAAGACATAGAAGGACGGAAAAGAGAAATCTGTGCCTAGGAACTGATTAGATTAAAACTCGCAAATGTGCCTTTGAATGATATGTTTGGCCGGCAGCTGGGTAAGATAAAGAACGGAGGAGGGAGAAAACCAAGAAACTACAAATGCCCGAGAGCAGAGACTCATCTCCCCCAAAGATGAGTTTCTCCAGCCCAGGCTCTCTGCTCTGTTTCGCCCAGCCTCATGAGAGGTGTCGCCTGTTACTACATCGCTAATTGCAATGGACAATAAATGATCGTTTATGGGTGACCAAGGATCGAGAAGCTTCTCAGGTCTTCATTAAAACAACAGCACAATTACAACCTTTGGAGGTACGCTAATGGTTATTAGACTTTTATGTGCCCTCACCGTGTGCAGAGGCAGTATTTGCAAGTCCCTCCCTGAACATTTACTTTTATTACGGAATATTTCATGGTACACACATGCACGAGCCCTCGCGTACCCATCACCCAGCGCGGGCAACTCTCACCTGTCCTCTCCATTTTCAATTTTCGTCCTAAAACATTTTAAAGCAAATACCAAAACATGACAGATTTTAATCGTAAATATTCCAGCAAGCATCCCCAAATTATATAATAACTATACTGGTTATTGCTAAATGGACTCGCAGGACAAAATTAAGAATGAACTACTTAAGAATTAAGTAGAAAACTCTCCCGGGCTTGGGAAGCGCGAGCCGAGCGCTGCACCCGCCCGGAACGCGGCGATGATCGACAGCCCCTCGGGCCAGGTCCATCAAGTCCCCCTCAGCGGCCACCCGGGCATGCGCAACGAAGACCCCGGAGTTGCTAAGGCCCCAAGGAAGACAGAAGAGCCGGATACGGAGAGAGCCAATGAGAGGGCGCAGAGACTAATCACGTAGCCAATCCGGATTCGAGAGTCAATCAGAGCCTCCGCATTCGGCGCTCCCCACCGGCGTCCAATCGGAGAGCCGGCTCCTTTGGGCGGACTTTTCAAAACAGCGAAAACAAAACAAATCGGGGACCTTTAAAAGGTGTGATGCGACAAGAAACTATATCCTTCCGCCCACAAATTTTTCTCTCCCTCCAGCTCAATCGCGGCAAAGCCACGACGCCCCAGATTCTACCCTCCGCCCTGAATGGGAAGAGGGAGGGGTGGCTCGGCAAGCAAGAGCGAGCAGGGTAGGTCACGAACTCGCCCGAAGACAGAGGCTTAGGGGAGGGACTCTTTTTCGAAGTCCCATTGGGGAAGCGGATCCCTCCGCGGGATCACGTGCCCCGCCCCCTTGGGGGCGTCGGAAACTCACAACAAAAACAAGGGGCTCGCCGGGGCCTCGGCTGTGGCGGCGGCGGCGACCGTGCCGGTGGGGTCAGGGCTGCGCCCCGGCTGGCGGATGGGCGCTCGGGGCGCGGAATGAGTCTGGGGCTGTGAGGCCGGCGTGGCGGCGGCGGGGGGGAAGGGTCGGAGGCCGGCCCGGGGGCAGCGCTGAGGCGGCGGCCCCGACCCCGGAGACAGGTCCGGACGCCCCTGCCCTGCCCGGCCCGGTGCCCGCCGGGCCGCGACGCCGCGCGCCGGGGGCCGCGCGTCCCGGGCACGGTGAGTGGGCCGCGGGCTCCTTTGTTCGTGCGCGGGACTTGGGGCGGGGGGAGGCTGGCGCCCACCCTCAGAGCGGAGCCGCGCGGGCCGTGCGCTCTGCCGCAGGGGTGGGCGCCCGGGGCGGGGAGCTGGCTGCCGCTGGGGCGCCCGGAAGGTGGAGGACCCCGAGGCTGCTGCGTCGGTGCTCCCCGCCCCCATTTTGTCAGGGGGACTCGTTGGGGTGCTGTTTGGGCGCTGACAGCACCCGAGCTCCCGGCGCCAGAGGGTGGACGGTGCTGCCCGGCGCGGGGCGGCCGGGCGCTGTCCCCCCCAAGCCGCTGTGGGCTGCGCCCCGCGCCGCGCGCTCGGCCCGGGACCTCTGCCTCCGGGCGCGTCGGAGGAGGCGCAGCCGGAGCGCAGGGGGAGGCTCGGGGGCTGGGCTCGGGCGAGAGGGGCTTCGGGAGCGGGGCTCCGGGAGGGGCGGGGCTCGGCGTCTCCTCCCTCCGCTTCTTTGTTCAGTGGCGAGAGCGTCTCTCCCTCCTCCCTGTTGTGCGGAGCCCTCTCCCCAGAGCCTGGTGCCGCGGCCCCGGGTGCGTGCGCCCGGCCGATGTACCTGCCCCCGCGGCTTTGGCCGGGACGCCGCTCGGGGACAGTTTCCTGTTTGTGAAACGACCTCGGGGCTGGCTGGGCCGACCCAGCTCGGGCCGGCGGTCTGACCGCGCGGCCCCTCCTCCTGCCACACCTCCCCGGCGGTGGGGGAGGGTTGCCCCGGAGTTTTGGACGTGACTGATGCCCTCAGCCACTCCTCTCCGGGGTGGGCCGGGGCGCCCCTCGCTGGAGGTAATGGCACCAGGTCTTTTATGCCTTCTCTCCCCCCACCCCATCCCTCCCTCCAGGACACACTTTGATTTAACTGTGTGATGTTTTTGCTGCAGATGAAGGATTTGGGGGCAGAGTATTTGGCAGGTTGTGAAGGTGTCCAGCTCTTTGGAGTGTTGAACCTCTACCTAGAACAGGAGCAGAGATTCCAACCTCGAGAAAAAGGGCTGAGTTTGATCGAGGCCACACCAGAGGTACGTTTCCCTGGGAAGGTAACTTGCTGTGAGGACTTGGAGAGGATCATTGTTTTTTTGAGTTGATATCAAGAAAAGGCTGAAAAGTTTAAGACCCAAATCTGTCTTTCTGGAATACTAAGATAGGTCTTAATATACAGGGTTTTGCTTTTGTTTCTTAACAAGAATGAGAGTGATAACCAAGTCTAGAGAAGTGTTTCTCCAAATGTGGTGTTCTGGGCCTACAGCTTGTGGATGGGAGACTCCCTGAGAATTGTGACGTTCAGTTGTGGAAATACCCTCCACCATGAAATATTTATTTATAGTAAGCACTTAAATGACTTAAAAAAAAAAAAAAGACAAACTAGGGGAACTCTTTGTCCTTTACAAGAGAATTGGGTTATATAAGCCCTCTGAACGTGTGGTTATGGTTAACTTTATATTGAATTGCTAAAACTATTACGTGTATTAAGAGCCATGATATATATGTTTTGTATAATGTATAGACCACTCTTACTCCCATAGTCTTGAAGATTAAGGGGAAAAAATATATTATTTGAATATGTGTATCTAGTGGGAAGAAAGTCATAAACTTTGGCTCTTGATTCTCATTGCAGAATGATAACTCTTTGTGTCCAAGATTGAGAAATGCCAAAGTAGACGATTTAAGGAGTTTAACCAACTTTTTTGGATCTTGCACTGAAACTTTTGTACTGGCTGTGAATATTTTGGACCGTTTCTTGGCTCTTATGAAGGTATTTCTTCATTTTTATAAAAAAAAGAACTTCAGTTTTCTATACCTAATACCTAGCACAATACCTAGTACCCAAGGATTCAGTAACATTATTACATTCACTTGCCAAATATTTACTGAGTAGACGTTCTTAATAATCAGAATTGTGGTCTTTAGTTTCAGATATAGTGACAGATCAAGAGTACAAATTCAAACATATTTTTTCTTAAGGTAGGTTTTGTTGTACCTCTTACATACTTTTTCTTTGTGATTAAAATGAAGATGATTTTTTAGGTATTCTCTATTTAGGTATACAGTCCTCAGATAACCTTTTCATCTTCCATGGCGTTTCTGTTGGAGCCTAGATGTTTGAAATATTAAAACAATACATGTATAGCAGTATGCTAAAGGTGACCTACTATCTTTTTGATGAGAATTCTTTTCAAAGCAGAGAGTCACCCTCTTAATAACAATTACAGGCCACTGTTAGAAAATGTGGTGATTCTTCTGCCAATAGGATTGCTGTCAGCTGCTGGGTCAGTTTTCAGGGCACTGAGAAGAAAAGGGAAGCCATCTGTCCATGGCAGCTTTTACGTATGCTCCACTCTGCACAATTGAGGCACAATTTCTCTTGGGCACATTTCCACTGAGGCATGGAATGTGAAGATAAATAGATAAGATAAAAAGTAGAATGTACTATTTTTATAATCAAATATGTTTCCTTATTTTGAAAGATTTTATTTGGGAGAGATTATACTATTAGAGATTTCCTGTTTGAAATATAAAGTAGTATAACTCATTGTTAGAAACTTATATTTAAATTTTTGACCTGCATTTAAACTAAATAATTTAAATGCACAAAGTGTCTTTTTTTCTTAAAAAAGAAGAAAGATTAGGGCAACTTAAGATGCAAAATTAATGAAATGCAATTGTAGATAAGGGTAAGGACAAGGAATTAGCTTATTGTGTTCTGTTTTAGGACTGGGGACATCATTACAATATTTTTTTAAGTGTCTGCTTTGCTAAATCGAAGTGACAATTGATAGAAGTCTTTTGTTTTTTGTTTTTCAGGTGAAACCTAAACATTTGTCGTGCATTGGAGTCTGTTGCTTTTTGCTGGCTGCTAGAATAGTTGAAGAAGAATGCAATATTCCATCCATTCATGATGTAATCCGGATTAGTCAGTGTAAATGTACTGCTTCTGATATAAAACGGATGGAAAAAATAATTTCAGAAAAATTGCACTATGAATTGGAAGCTACTACTGCCTTAAACTTTTTGCACTTATACCATACTATTGTACTTTGTCATACTTCAGAAAGGTCAGTGGGATTAAAAAATTAAACTTTTGTATTTTTAGCATTACAGTAGTTAAGAGTGAATGATTGGAATGCCAGTGAATTTATATTTACTCTTCCTGCTAAACTTTGTTTGGATTTTTAATGGCAAGCCCTTAAAATCATTAAAGTCTTTGGAAGTTTAATAAATACTTTCTCATTCTTTTCATTGTCTAGGAAAGAAATATTGAGTCTTGATAAACTAGAAGCTCAGCTGAAAGCTTGCAGTTGCCGACTTACCTTTTCAAAAGCAAAAGTAAGTTGATTTCCTGCTTGCATGTTTCATAGTTTCTATTTTGAATTGAAAAAAGATTTACATTTTTACTTTTATTCCTTGCAGCCCTCTGTATTAGCCTTGTGCCTTCTCAATTTGGAAGTAGAAACTTTGAAATCTATTGAATTATTGGAAATTCTACTGCTTGTTAAAAAACATTCCAAGGTAAATGTCATCATTACTTATTCTTTAAAGCAAGTGTCCTTCCTAATGTGTTTTTTTTCCTGTGATGACTTGAACATTAAAGTAATACTGCATTTTTTCCCTGTATTTCAAATGTTGAATTCTCAAAATGTAGGTTCGACCCAAAAGTATTAAAGTGGATGGGAACTCAGTCACGTAGCCTAACTTCTTTCAGCATTCAGACATCCCTTCTGTAGTGTTCTTGATAGTTAATAATACAGTGATCTACTGTGCCACATACACATTGTTCTAAAGTGCATACTAGGGCATCCCCGGTGGCGCAGCGGTTGAGCACTGGGCTGCGAAGCTGCTCACAGGCTCTGCAGTGCCAGTTCGATCCCCGGCCCCAGAGAGGGTCCCACATGGCGCGCAGACCTCTCCTGCCACCCGCTGCTCCCCTCAGCATTGTATTTCGTCAGTCTGCCTGTTCTGGTCCCTGCTCTGGCTCTAGTGAATTCTCTCACTCTTCTGCTCTTCTGACTGTACCCAGTGCTTGTATAAATAAATAAATAAATCTCAAAAAGAAAAATAAAGTGCATACTAGTAAACACACTAATTGCATCCCATTACATTTGTGGGGCTGAATCATCACTAGTAGCATTACCAAAATAACACCCGTTGTGTTTTTCTTAAACCCCTTAGGCAAGCTCAGTCCATTTTTGCAGTCATAAGAGGTATAAAACAATAGCACAGGGTTTTTTTTCCTTAAACTAGTGCTCAAGTTGGAGAAATATGGAACATAACATGAGGTGATGTGTTCTGTTAATTATTATTCTGTTTCAGTGCCAGATAATAATACTGAGCATAAGGAATAATGAAGTTTTGTTAGAGAGGTAAGGCAGACTGAGAGGCACTATGCCTGGGAGTCTGGTTTGACCAAAAGAACCTTAATGAAAGTTTAAGCAGCAAATGCTATGGCCCGGGAGTTGGTGGGCTGGGGGGTATGAGTTTCATTTTAGGACTGACTTGCAGATAGACTGTCTAAGTGGTAGAAACAAATAGAAATAGTTATTTGAGAAATACGGATATTTAACTCAAATATTTAACTCAAGTAGTGATTTTGAAAGCAGAGCATGAAAATGAGGCAAGGGTTCACAAATCAAGATTTAGAATTAAGGATCGAGACACTATTGGTCCCATTGAGAGAATTTTGAGAGAAGTTAATTTATGTTCAAAAAATGTGATTTTAAGTAGTTTTATACATTAAGTGTCTAGTAGCTATTTGGCAGTCTAGGAAAAAACTCAGATGAGAAGTCATAGTTGGAGATTGGCTTTGAAATTTCTCATGAAGAAATAATAATTGCAACTTCTATAAGAAATAAATGGGAGTTTGCTTAGGGGTCCATTGAAAGTGGATTTTCAGCCTTGATGGTTTCCCCATTTGGAACCAAGTGAAGGGGAAGATCTGCTGGACAAGTTAAGACTCTGGTGAGATTTGCAAGAGGTTTTCAAAAAAGAGGTGGTTGAAAGTGTTGCGTTTTGATGAGAAGTCCAGTATAATGAGAATTAAAGGAAGGTCATTGGATAGTTCAGAGGTGGTGATAGTAGAGGTGGAAGGGAGTAGTTGAAAGCAGATTGCAAGAGGCTAGTACATAACTGGATTAAGTGGAAATGGAGGTCAAGATGATAGAAAAATATTCTGTTAGTGGTTAAAAAAAAGCATGAATGTGAAGTATTTTGTTTTTAACAGATAACTCCTAGGTTTTGTTATCACAAATGTCTTAGTTTTAATCTAAACCTTTTATAATATCTTCTGTGAAAATTGATTTTGTGAAATTAATTGACACACTCCCTAGTGGTGGAGGAACTATTCCTTTTTGGGAAATTCCTCTTCTCATAATTGCTATCTTCTCTATTAGCATATATCTGGTAACTGGTGTCTTAGTGTAAATGTATATTGTTAGCAATCTGAATACTGTTGTGTTACAGAATCCTAAATTGTTAAATTCCATTGCATTGAGACTGTTAGTGATTATACTTTGTAATTGATTTGTTAACAGATCTAGTGTTTTTAGGTCACTAGGAAAATAGGCAAAGCTTTTCATATATATTAAATTATTTATCCCTGTGCTGATGTACCTATAAACCAGTTATAAAATTTTGGCTGCACATTAGACTCTACTGAAGAGCTTTAAAAAATCTGATGCTCGGGTAATGTCCCATATCAATTAAATAAGAATATCTAGGGATGAGAGCTAGACATCAGGATGCTTTAATGATGACAAGGTGATTCTAAGATGCAGCAAGGTTTGGGAACCACTGTTGTAACCTTGTCTTTAAAATATTTTTCAGGTTAATGACACTGAATTCATTTACTGGAGGGAATTAGTTTCTAAATGCCTGGCAGAATATTCTTCTCCTGAATGTTGTAAACCTGATCTTAAGAAATTGGTTTGGATTGTTTCGAGGCGCACAGCCCAGAACCTCCACAACAGCTATTATAGTGTTCCTGAGCTGCCAACAATACCAGAGGGAAGTTGTTTTGATGAAAGTGAAAGGTAAGTGGGTCTCTTCATGAATCAGAGTGCCCCAGACTAAATATTACTGATTTCATAATCAAAATGGAACAATAGAATATTATAAGGCTTCAGAGAAAGCTTTGTTTCATTAAAATAATAATTATCTAGAAGTGTACTCTTTTATTAAAAACAAAACAAAATGATATGCTTTACATTACATTACTAGGACTTAAAATTGAAGGTTTATACCTTTTGACCACCATGGCCTACTGTGCTGCCTGCCACTGCCCCCACCCCTAACTCCCAGTGCCCTATAACCTACCTCTGGCAACTGCCACCAACCTGTCTCAGATTCCTTGTACTGTTTTTTTAAAGATCCACATATAAGTGAGATCAGATAGCATTTGATCTTATTTACTTATTTAAAGATTTATTTATTTATGCATACAAGAGCTGGGGTACAGGCCAGAGATGCGGGGTGGGGGGGCGTGGTGAAAGGATTCACCAGAAACAGTGGGGAGCAGAACAGACAGACTGACTGAAATACACTGCTGAGGGGAGCAGCGAGCCAGACAGGAGAGGTCTGTTTCGCCATGTGGGTTGCTCCCTGGCCAGCTGGAGATCAAACTTGTGCTGCAGAGGCTGAGGAGTGATCCTTCATCGTGCGGTGCTTAACCCCTTGCGCCACCAGGGAGGCCCTCATCTTACTTATTATCTGACCTAATATATACAATATATATAAAATATATACATAATATATAGTATAATATATAGTTATATATATTAGTTGGAGATAATCATTATATCTCTGACTTATTTCACTCTCCCCCTTTAAAAAACTGGTTATTTCCCATATCCTTTGACCTTTGAAAGACAATATAGTTAAAACAAACCAAAACAGCATGGTGGAGTTTTTAATATTAGTGTGAATTTAATATTAGTGCCCTTTTATAGAAAGAGACAGGTTAAATGACTAGGAAGTAAAGAAAACCACCACTATCAGTATTTTAATATTTACAGTTTAGATTTATTTAGTTTATCAAGTGCCATTTTCTTATTCCTGCTTGATCTTTGTGAAGTGACTTATTACTTAGTTTAAATTTGATTCTTTTATACTATAGAGATAAAGGACCAGAAGTTCCATTTTCATAGCTCACTGGCTTTTGGTTTGATATTTGTGAGTACTGATGATGCAAGAAAGACACCAAAACCATGCAATAGAATATATTTTGGCCTTACTCTATATTGGATTCAAAATACTTCTATGTTTAGTTAATGATGCTTATTAATTGGTATAATAGTTTGACAAATAGTAGTTTGGAATAAGCTCTTCAGATAATCCGTATTTTCTAATGGGATTATAATAGACTTAAGGAAGTTTTTAGAAGTTTTATTTCTGTAAAACTTAAATTTAATTATAAAAATAAATCCTAATACCAGAGACCTATTTCACAGTTTACTTTGCTTATAAAGCATTTCAGTGTATTTTAAATAATGGAATCTTCTTTGACTTCTTTCTTTCAGTGAGGACTCTTGTGAAGATATGAGCTGTGGAGAAGAGTGTCTCAGCAGCTCTCCCAGTGATCAAGAATGTGCTTTCTTTTTCAACTTCAAAGTGGCACAGACTCTGTGCTTTCCATCTTAGGAATCTAATTATTCTGTGTCAGAATTTAAGGTGTCTGTGTAAGTTTTAAAGCAATAAATGGGGGAGTAGGTAGTTTTCTGGTCTAGTGCCCCCCCACCCCCACCCCCGGCGCCCACTCTAGGCAGGAATTGCATAGACTGGAATACCTATCTTCTATTTATTATTCAGATCAGATCTGGCCTATTTTCATATTTAATCCTAAGCCATCAAATGGGTTAGTGCCTCTAAAACAGTTAACAGTACTTTAGACACTGGCACTTTATTTTTCTCGTTGGTCTTTTAGCTACTTGGGGAAGGAGGAAAGGTGCTGAAACCTTCAATTTATTACTTTTCAACAAGATTTTTAAAGATGAATAGTGTAGCTTATCTTAAACTTTTTATAAAGTCTTCAGGTGTCTATTTAAACAGATTGGGAGTGTGCAAGTGCTTCCTTAGCAGGGACAATGGATAATCTTTTAATGGTTATCTTAGCTCTTTCTCCCCTTCCCATTCTCAGAACAGAATAATGTCAAACACCTTTTTTGTTGATTTTTAAGTGATCAGTGTACTATCTGATGCAGACTATAAAGCTAGGAATTACATATTCACATTTCTGTAAACTTTTAGGTAATGTTTCAAATGAGGTTTTTCCTACAGCAAAAATAATTGACAGACTAGGGTCTTTAGTCACATTCCTAATGCCTAAGTATTGTCAAACTGTAGTATTATTTTAATGTTATTAAAACAATCCATAATCTGCTAGTTTTGCATGCACCTGTATGAAAGCAGTACAGGAAGTTGACCAGAACTTAAGTATGGAATTGATAAATGTCAATTGAGTAGTGCATCTTTTCTTATATTAAAAAAAGTCTGCATGTTTACGTTTTGTTTCCTTTGTAATTCACATTTCAGATGATACTAGTGTATGGGTGCCAAGAATGAATATGAAGTTTAAAAAAAAAAACTGTGTTTGTAGTAGTAGAGTTTGAAGCATTTCTGTGTGTTGGTACAGCCATAAAAATAGAAATTTATAAAACTCTGTACACGTGAGATTTTGTACAGAGAATTTTTTAACTTTATAAGCCGAACATGGAAATGTAAATTTTAAAAAATGTACATAAAATACTGTATTTTTTTACTTTGTGTGTGTGATAGTCTAGTCATTGCATGTAAATATAATTTATTGTGTATTCTGTATTATAAATATACGTTGATGACTTACTTTTTTACTGGTAAGTCAACATCCATTGGATGCTTTCTGAAGTGGATATTTTTCAAGTAATGACCATAATTCCAAATAAAAATAATGAATTGTATTCCTTTTTGTATTACATCTTAATTTTTAATTTTTGGGTAAAAGAAAAAATCCTTGATGTGTTTCAATGAGATGACTTGAAATATGGCTTGGTTTTCCTTCAAAATAAACCATCTATCTTGTTACCAAATGTCCTTCAGGTAATGTTTCCTCAGTAGTTTGGCCCTTAGCTTTAGAGATAATGAAAATGTATCTGTCACTTGAGAATTGACCTCTCTCTGGGGTAAACTCATTAAAAGAGTTAAGTATTAACTTGAATGCCAATCAAATTATAGTGAAAGCAAATAGGTATTGAATAAACTGGAATACTCAGGTCAGTATACTCTTTCTGCAGATCAGCCAAATTCTAATCATAAGGTTCCTTGGTGAGTAAGCATCAGTGTGTGTGTGTAGCACAGGTTCCTCATTTAGATTGATTTTATGGACCTTTATTTTCACTAGGTTAGAAAATCAGATAGCTGAGAGTGATTTTCATGTAGTCTCTCCCAGAGATACAGCATGTTTTCCTACCAGCTTAATGGAGAAGGTGCTTGAGGATGACTCCTCCATTTCTTAATAAACAGTAGACAATATATTCTTTCAGAATTTGATTTGTTGAAATATAAAAGTGATTTGAAACTTCAAATTTGAAATCCTTTTCTGTTCCTCTAAGATTTTACTGCCTTTTTTTTTTTCTTTTACTAGATGCTCATTCTGCTAGAGTCTGTCCACACATGACTTATCAGTCCCCTTTCTGATCTTCATTATGTTTAGTGTAGATCTTTTTACTGAGTTCCCAACCTGTTTATTCACAACTGTCCAACCTTAGAAATTTCTGATCACTCCCAAACCTCTTAAATGTTTATCTTGGTGGCTATGTATTTCATTGTCTCACACTGGAAACTTAGGTGATATCCTCATTTCCTGCCTGTTCACTGGAGGTCCGCATTCATCATTTACATGATTTCTAGTATAGAGCCCGACTGTCTCTGTTGGTCGTGGCTTAGCTGAGACCTGTACTCTATCAGCAGGTTTACAAAAATCTCTTTGTGGTGGTTCAACCTCCCGGCTTACTCTTCCCCTTGCTGCCTGGGTAACCTTGAAAAATGTGCACATTTGATTATGTCGCCAGACAAGTTGTTCAGTAGGTACCACAATCAGGTTAATAGGTCCTTATCATGATGTACAAGTCTCAATTGGAACACCACCTGTCTCTTGACTTTTTTTTTCTTTGCCATTTCCTAAAACTAGAAAATGTAAAGAAAAGTAACTGGCAGGGGCCTCCCTGGTGGTGCAAAGGGTAAAGTATCTGCACTATAACGCTGTCCGCAGCCACCACAGTATTGGGTAGCAGACCTCTCCTGTCTCACCCGCTGCCTCCCCTCAGCAGTGTATTTCAGTAGATCTGCCTGTTCTGCTCCCCACTCTGTCTCTGGTTAATCCTTTCAACACCCACACCTGTGGCCTGTACCCCAGTTCTTATATGCATAAATAAATAAATCTAAAAAAAAATAAGGTAACTGGCAGCTATGTGGAAGGTGGACTTAAGCAGGTAGATCTCACGGAATCTGATCAGAAGTCCTGCCAAAAATCCAAGAGAAGGACTGAATTAAGGAGGGGGAGGAAAACTGGTGGGAATTGAGAGGCACTCTGTTCTCTTGGCATCATTAGGGTCCCATTGGACCATCCAACCAGGTGGTTTTTTCTGTGGTTGTGATGAATAGAATTGAGACGACTCTTGCTTCATTCACAGCAGAGGTGGGAGGAGAAGGCTATCATTATAGTCTTGTATTTGATCCTTGATTTGGCAAGAGATTTGACTTTTCAAGTTTCAAGCCCGTCATTTCCTCGGAATGTATGCACATTTTGTTGCACTTGCAATTGTCCTGCTGAAGTGTTATTCTGCCTGGCCCCTTGGTCTCCATCCTTTTCACTCTTTCGAAGTTATACTAGACAAATAACTTGTTGCGGTCACCTGTCACACTGAGTTCATACTCAACATAACTGTAAAGGCCTTGGTGGCAAAACACTTAATGATAATTCTAACCATTGTTGTTGTCTAGGACCTGAGTTTTTCCTTTAACTCATTTCAAAACTAGACTCTAATATGTTTCTGCTTGCCTCCCACCTTGCACTGCACTCATGCAAATTTTCAACTTACTTAGGCAACCCATTTAACAGATTTTTGTTAGAACCAAGTCCATTTATTTGCATGTGTCACTTTTGAACTGACTTTTTGTAATTATTTGTACCAGAAATGGTGAGCAAGTTACTGACCATTGTGTTAGAAATCAGATTCACAATAGCCAGTGAGTCTTCCCATCCCTGTGCACAGGTTGCTCTTCCCATTAAGAGGTGGAGTCTATTCCCCTCAAATTTCACTTGGTCTTGAGCCTGGCTTTGCCTATTCAAGCATAGTGGGAGAATTTCAGCGCTTGTCCCAGCCTTGGATTTACTGGCAACTTTGCTTTTATTCCTGTTGGAAGCTAGCCACCATGTTGCAAAGAAATTCAGGTTGATTATCAAAAGATGAGAAGGCATGTGGACATGTGGAGGGAGGCTGTAGAGTATGAGAGGCCATTCTGCATATTCACGCCTCACTAAGCTCCCAGTGGAAAGCAGCACACATGAGTATCGTCGACTATAGCGTGCAACAGAGGAGCCACTAAGGTGACCCAATCGACCCACAGACTCATGAACAGCAATACATCAACGTTTTACATTTTAGAATGGTTGATTACATAGCAATAGATAACAGGTTATTATTTATGTACAGATGGTACTTATCTGGATGGTGGGATTACATGTGATTTTTCTATTGATATATCTGTAGTTTCCACTTTTTCTTGAATTATTAGTGTATTAGTGTAATAAATAAGGTGCTTAAAAAAACTTGATAATATCCTTACTTTGATTAAAATCCTTCATGCTTTCATTGCTCCCTAGCATCAAGTTCTAAGACCTCACTATGGCTTACAGGACCCTGCATGATTGGTCCTTGCTCCCTTCTCAGCCTCATTTCTCATGGCATCCACATAGGCATATCTTCTCTCTTTTTTTAAAAGATTTATTTATGCATACAAGAGCTGGTACAGGCCAGAGGTACAGGGGGTGATGGATTCACCAGAGAGAGTGGAGAACAGGACAGACTGAAATAAATACACTGCTGAGGGGAGTAGCAGGCGAGACAGGAGAGGTCTGCTGCGCCATGTGGGTAGCTTCCTGGCCGGCTGTGGATTGAACTTGTGTTATAGAGCAACCCCGATATTAAACGGGTTCCTGGCTGTGGGTCCTCACCCGCGCGCTTTAAAGGGACTTATGAATACTCTACTACAGACACACACAAAAGGGTTAATAAAAGGTTTATTTACAAGAGGAAAGGAAATAAGGAAAATGTACAACTCAGGGAGAAAATAGGGAAATAAAGTCTTTAATGCGTCCTACCCGATCCGACGACCTGGAAACCCAAAGTCACTCCCAGAGCTGGCCGGAGGCTCCGCGCTGGCCGAGCGCCCCAAAATGGAGAGAGCCCCAAAGCCCACGTGTCTGCCTTTTGTATCCACCTGGCTGCTTAACCCCACCCTCAGGTCCCAGCCACCTTCCCTTTGGTGGTGATGGGATTTGGAGTTCCCAGTGTCTTTGGCTTTGACCTGGGGTGGGGGTGGAGTCCACAAAGCCTGTATGGAATTAGCTTTGGGACCGCCTTTTCCCCCTAACACTTGTGCTGCAGAGGTTGCAGATAGTTTCACGATGTTGTGCTTAACCCCTTGCACTACCAGGGAGACCCCAGATACATGTATTTTCCAGCCAAGTTGCAGCCCTCCCACTCACCATGCTTTCACTCACTAAGGAGACTTCATGCATGCTCATCTGCCTGGAATACCTTTCCTGTCATCCTGATCTACCTTTTCACCTGTGATATCACTTGAATTACTCTCTCATTTACCCACCAACCTCTGATTTGCTAACTCCACACTAAGTGCTTGATATATAAAATGAAACTGCATAATATCCCTGCCCTCACGTACTTACGTTCTAGTGGCAGAACCAAATGATTCATAGTAAATATAATTTTTAAAGGCAATGTTTTCTTCCAAGAAATCTTTCTGAAACTCTCTGGCTCTCCTTTCTTTGTCAGTGCTACATGTTTCCATAAAAACTCTTGGCAGTAAATACTTTGTCCCCTGTCTGCTTACCTTACCTAGCTTCTTTGGGAAGGCAGGTGCTATTTATCATGTTCATTGTTGAATCCCCATCATCCATTATTGTATCTCATTTAAACTCCTCCTGCTGTTGCTGCTGTTATTGGCAAGAAGAAATTTTACTGACCATTGAATGGCTCCAGGCACTTTACATGAATTATTTAATACTTCTCACAGTCACCTGGAAAAGAACTGCTATAAGTTCCACTTTACATACAAAGAAACTAAGGATTAAGGAAGTACTTTGACATATATCTGATCAGGGCTACAATTCAAACTAAATCTGTCTTCCAAACCCTGTGTTCTTAACACAATGCTAAACTACTACCCAAATGTTGATGGTACCCTTTAACCAATTGTTGAAATGTAACCAGGGGCTGAAGCCAAACACAATGTTTCAGATGGCACTGCCTGGAGAGGGGTGGTGGTGAGGATGACTAGCCCCAGGGGAAATAGGAACAAAGTGCTGGTGGGAGTGGAGTTTCTGATAAGAAATTTCAGGGACTTGAAGAAGCAGCCCCCAGGATTCAACCGTATTTCAGCGTTTTAGGATCTTCAGTGCTTCCAGGGTCATCCATTTCTGTCCCCATCATGCTGATCTCCCAGAAGGCTGTTGTGGGCCTCTGAAGTATGTGGAGAGGCTCCCAGCTGCCAATTTCAGAGAAAACTCCAGAGGCTTTGCAGGTAGCCATGCGAACGAAATTGTTCCCAGCTTTGCTGCTGTTACAGCTTAGAAGGGAAGGACCTAGAGCTGGGCGCCTCTCTGTGCTGCATGAGTGTGGGCCTGTTCTCAGGTGGCTCAGCTGCTATTTTCAGTGTCAATTGTCTGGCGATGTGCTGGCACATCTCAGCAGCCCCAGTGAGCAGCTCCTGTTGTGTCTTATGTTATCTTTGTAAGTTGGAAACCGGCCTATTGTCTGGTTGCCACATGCTTCAAGCCCTCAATGGCAGGACGACTCTGTCTTAGGAGACTATGCATGTTGGACTTTAAAACACTGGACACTGCTTCGGGTGAGGTAAGTGGCCATTTGTGGCCTCAGTGACTCTTTGTTTTTCCTTGTTTGTTAAATAGATCCCATTATTGTTCTCTGAACCTGAGTAGTTCTTGCAATTGTGCACGTGGGTGAAGAACTCAGGCTGACTGGTAAAATATTTGGATACTGTCCTTGGCCAATTTTAGTGCCCTTTGCTGCCCTGTATCAGAATGACATAAAAGTTTTTTTTATATAAGGAAAATCCTCATAATAAACTATAGTAATAAACTATAGTATTCTTTTGTTTAATTTTTAAAGGTTTTCACCCATATAAAGGAAATATGGCTAAAATTCATAATTAAAATATCTGCAGTCACCCAGGGGCCACAGATGGTAATGTAAAAAATTCAAGGC